GAAAAAAATGTACAGGAATTATAACAATATAAATAAAAACATGCAATTGAATGAAATTTAAAATACAAACAAATTATTTACAAAATATAATGTTCAGTAGTACGCTATATATGTAAGAAAATAGTTATTTAAGAGTTATTTATATAACTTGTACAGAATGTGAGTCTTCGGGGAAGGAATGAAAAGTTGATGGACGAAGTGACGATACGAACAGATTTCTGCATTTTGAAGTGTGCACGCCAAAGACACAACTTGCTCACATTATTTTTTTATTACGAATTCATGGCTATTTGTTTTCTGAAGTCATGTTTCTGCACAATGCTGAAATGATCCATCCATAATTTGACAAGTATTCCCAAGTATCATTAACGAAAGAAAACATTTAACATGGCATTGATTTACAGAAAAAATGCAATTGCACCTTTTTATCTAAACACTTTCAACGTGTGCATTTCCTGTATAACACTGTCCAATTCCATTATTCTTTCTAGAGATACTATTTTACTTCCTCCTACCACCTTCAAAACAGATTTATTAAAATACTGAAGAGAAAAGTATTTCAATATACTCATCCGTTTATAATTTACGTTTTCTTTGAGAAGTGTCATAATACGAGTGAGGACTACGGAGACAATGCCTGTTTCTTGTCGTTTTATTCAATTTATTAAAAGTAGTTATCAAATATAAATATATTACAGCCAAAGCAGTATTCCTATCATGAATATACCTGTGTATTTTTTATTTCATGCTAACAATTTACAAAATAGCATTTAAGAAGGCCACAATACTCTTTGGCCGAAACGTTAGCCAACATGATAGTGACGCGGCTCGTCCCGGATAGCCTAGACAACATAAATATCTAGTTGCATGTCAAATTCCTGTTTAATTATCCATTACCTTTAAAATACAGTTCAAAACTTGCATATAATTTGGTACTCAAATCGGAAATTCTGAAATTTCTAACTTCCAATGTATATAAAATAACGATATGTTAGCAAGAATTCTATTTATTTCCATGAAAAAATGTACGAAAAATTGCGAATATATGATGTCCTCATATCCTACGCACGAGCAAACATTGTGCTGTATAATATCCCTTTTGTCTTTGGTTCTGAAAATTCAAGAAAGACTGTACTACATCTATTCTGTAGTTATAGGATTAAAAATGACGAAATGTATAATACAACATGTTTGATTAAAAACTGTGCTGCAATCGACGAAAAATTAAAATTCTGATTGTATCCTCACGGCTTCAGTTTTTCATTACATTATTTCTCGTATATTACATTTTTTATGTTTCTCATTTCCTCCACTTTACAAGAAACACAAACTTTTTTGCAGGAGCCATATTTTAAATATATTTCCCTCCTTTCCTCGAAGAAAAAACTTTAATTATACTCCCTCCTCCCGCACGAAGGGTAACTCGACGCGTGCAATAAACAGATAACGCGGAGTACCCTTAAAAAAGAGCGAGGATTCATCGCCGAAAGCTCTTGTCTCTGATCATTTTCATGAAAATTGCCTGTCGATTTCAGAGCGGGATCTCCGGAGGCCATTTCCTGGCTGCAGCGCTGATGAAGATTTCGCGCAAAGCTCCCGAGAGGAGAGATTTATGTAAATTATTTTCGGAACTTCCAAGTTCCGTGTGATCATTCACATTCATGACGTCCGCCGGGCGAATGCGTTATTTAATTATTATTGCTATTATCGCGGTCTGGCTGGCCTCCGAGGGTAAGCGCGGCCGCCTCATGGAAATTGCCTGCGGCCGCGGTGGTGGCGTGCGGTGAGGATCGACCAGGGGAGGGGCGGGGCAAGTAGGGACGGCGGATGAGCTAAGACTGTGGCGAGGAGAGCAGAGAGGAGAGAGAGAGAGGAGGGCGGAAGAGTGAGGACGAGGGAGAGGTCGCGGACGGAGGCGGGACGGAGGCGGGACGGAGGCGGGAGGCGGGGACGGAGGCGGGACGAGGGGACGGAGCGGGACGGAGGCGGGACGGAGCGGGGACGGAGGCGGGACGGAGGCGGGACGGCATGGCGGGACGGAGGCGGGACGGAGGCGGCGAGGCGGGACGGAGGCGGGACGGAGGGCGGGACGGAGGCGGACGGAGGGCGGGAGAGGAGCGGAACGGGCTCGTGGAGGCGGGAAGGAGGCGGGACGGGAGGCGGGCGGCACGGAGGCGGGACGGGGAGGACGGGACGGAGGCGGGACGGAGGCGGGACGGAGCGGGAGGCGGGACGGAGCCGGACGGAGCGGGACGGAGGCGGGACGGGAGGAAGCCGGGTAAGGTGAATAGGCGACCGAGTGAGGTCCAAGAGGGCTGAAGTGGTGTGGGGGTCAGAGGGAAAGCGGTAAGGCGGAGGGCGGCAGAGGAAGGAGGAGGTTTCTGAAGCGGAGTTGGGGGACGGTGAAGAACTGCAAAGGCGAGAGCGGGAGCAAGGTTTCTGCGGGGCGTTGTAGTGAAAACTGCGAAGAAAGGAAGGGTAGGCCAGGACCAGCGTCAGGTCAGAGTTGATCGAGAGACTGCAACGAAGTAGAAAACGAGGCGCTTGGAACTGTGTGTAATGGGAGGGTTGTGTATTCTGGTGGATAGTTTTTAATCTATGAGGAAAGCAATTGGAGACGCGCGTGAAAGTGATACCTTCAGCAATAGCTGAATGGCATCAGATGCGGTCGAGAAGGAAGGGTGGGGCGTCGCGCGAGGCTAATCGCGTGAGAAGTAGGAGTAGCGAATGCTTTTCGAAGGAAAGAAGAAAGGAATGAAAGAAGGAGAAAGTAATTTCATTGAAACAAATGAGATGAAAAGTAGCTATTTAGTTAACAAATAAACAGAGGAATAGAAATGACTAACAAAATGGAGCCTAGGACTGCAATGTTTACTATATTTCAAAATAGTTACTGTATAATTTATTGGATTGTAACTAGTAACTGTCGGACTACGAGGAGCCATTGAGAGCCTCCTCGGCAGGTAGAGAATCAAGAGCTGGAGAAGTGCGAAACGAAATGAACTGGTAGAGGAGTAAAACAGTCAGGATCCGACGCCAAGGAGCTGACAAGAGAGCGATGGCGCGGGCGGGAGTAACAGGGAGGGAGGCGGCATCAATGGAGAGCCGAAGGGGCGTGGCACGGCTCTGAGCGAGGCCTAAGCCGGCTGAGCCGGCGGCGCGGCGGCGGGCGACGAGCAGCGCGTTGAGATAGGGCGGGGGAAGTTCTGGCATGGACTGGAGGGGGAGGGGAGGGGAGGGGAGGGGAGGAGAGGGTGCGCGCGGAGCGATGCAAATGGCTAATCCGGCCGGGGCGGCGGCGTGCGACTGTGCAGGTGAGCGGGATCTCGACGGAGATCTTCCGACAGATTGAGACGGTGGAGAACGACCACGATGCCACGACGGCGGCGGCGCTGGAGGCGGTGGAGCGGCGCGGCGAGATGGTGGTGCGGCTGCTGGAGCCGCGGCACATTGGCCGCGCCGCCTCCGAAGCGGCCAAGCGCTTCCTCGCCATGCAGGTGAGTCTCCCTCCCCTCCCGCTCCTCCCCCCGCGCGCCGAGCGCTCCATTCGGAGCGGCCTGCGGGGCGCCTGCCTTCCAGCCTGGGGCTGGCCCCTACTACTTGATCAGGTTCTTCTCTTCTCACTCATTTTCCAACTTCCCTGCCTCCCTTCTTCTCTCCATCCTTTCTACTTTCCTTCCTTCCTTCATCACTTTCATCCTTCCTCCCTTCCACCCTTCTTCCCTTTCATTCTTCCTCCCTTTCATCGTTCATCTCCTTTAACCTTCCTCTCTTTCATCGTTCCTGCCATTTCGTCCTTCCTCCCTTTCATCCCTTCCTCCCTTTCATCCTTCCTCCCTTTCATCCTTCCTCCCTTTCATCCCTCCTCCCTTTCATTCTTCCTCCCTTTCATCCTTCCTCTCTTTCATCTTTCTTCCCTTATATCAATTCTCCTTTACATCGTTCCTCCCTATCATCCTTTATTCCTTTTATTCTTCCTCTCTTCCTTCCTTCCGCCTTTCCATTCTTCTTTCCTTCCTTCTTTCTCTCCTTTCCTTCCTTATTTCCCTTCTTTCATTCCTTCATTCCCTTTTCTTCCTTCTTTACATCTTCCCTTCATTCTGTCATCCGTTTTTCCTTTCTTCTCACTTGCTTCCTTCTCTTTTTTTTATTTTTCAATTATTTTTCTGTAATTTCGTAATATTTTCTGAAATGCATTCATGGTCCATCTATAAGTTATTTCCCCCCCAAAGTCTTCATAGTTTATACATGTTTCACTCTTTTTTTATAAGATTATTCTTTTGTAAAATGACATTCTAATTCTATTACTTTGCAAACTCATTGTAATTTATACAATTTTGTAAGTACGTTTGAAAACAACAACTGGTATCCTACTTCCCAATTTGTATTATTACGCAAATTTTCTTTCAGGCTTAAGTTGCTAGTGCTGCGACGCCACCTCTCCAAACTGTTGCTTCTCTAAACGGTCTTCACACTAATGCCTGGAGCTTCATCTCCATTATTCATCCCGTTAATGTTGGCCGTTTCCATTAAGCAACACATTGTGTATTCATCCGTATACTTCTTGCCCTCCTTTTGCTTGCCCGTATAAAGACGCCCTGCATTCCTCAAATCCAGGCGTATATTTCAAAGCGCGCACCCGCGGTCCATTTTGGCACACGTTTCTGGCTATCTGCTCTCCCACTTCCTTCATCCATCTCCCTGCCTCCTCTATACTTGTGACGAGGGTAAGGGCAGGAGGATTTATTGTTACAGGCGTCGACGACGCCTGGCATTGTCAAAGCAGAATAAAACTGAAATAAAAATTCACCGTGTACAAATCATGTGTAATTGAGAATGAGTTAAGTAACCTCAATGCGACAAACCTTTAGAACTCATATCTTTCTAGATCAATCGTCAATAACATGGAATTAACACACCAACAATTATTTATAATTATTTTTGATTAGATAAACATCTATGACAAAAACGAAAATTCATTAGATTAATTAGAATTCTGATATGTAGACAAGACTTCATCAGCAATTAATAAATATCACAAGAACATATAATTTACTATGCTGTCTTACTATGCCAATTTATATCGCTTGCGGAGAAATTTTAGTGATAGGGGATTATCATAGCTGAAATGTCTCCTTTCACGATGAGACGAGGTTTCCAATTATTTGGGCTCCCTAGGTCAACTTATTTTTATGAACATTGACTGCTTGTTTGACCTCCTGCCTCTACCTACGCCTGTTATCTTCTTTCTTTTGCTTCGATTTTTGTGTTGTTTTTGAGGTCGGCCGATTCCCAGAGCGCCGTGCCGGCCTCAGCGCTACCTCCGCCTCTGCCCCTTCGCCCGCCCCCTTGCCTGTTGCATCCTTCGTGCGCTTCTTCCATATCCCGTGCGCGCCGCCCGCGCCACCCGCACCGCCTCACGTAGCAGCAGCTGGCGGGCGGGCCGGCCGCCCCATACAGATGAGGCAACAGGCGCAGCCCCAACCGCTATGTATAGATTGCGGCGCGGCGCGACCCCGCGCACGAATCATCCTCGAGCATCGCGCTCCACGTCCCGCGCTCCACGTCCCGCGCCCCGCGCCCCGCGCCCCGCGCCCCCGCGACGCCGCAACCTCGTCGCGCTGCACACTCTGCATTTCCACGCTCCGCTCCCGCAGCCCGTGCCACCACGCACACGCGCTCACACGCCTCGCTGCCGCTCCGCCGCCCCGTCGGAACCCCGCGCTCCCGTTCACGGTTCCCGTTCCGCCGCGCCCAGAAGAGCCGCCCGCGCGTCCGTACCCTGCCCTACAATCTCCCGCCCTCTCGGAGGTCCTACGCTCCGCACCCTTGCCCCACCGCCTTCACGCTCTGGCACCCCCTCCCTCTCGGACATAGGAAATTATGCCTCGCGCACAGCACACGCCAGCGTTCACGGCTACCGCTCCGTTCTCTCTGTCCCCTGTTCCCCTCACCCCCTCCTCGCACCACACTCCCCGCACCATTGCTCCTTGTCTTGTGCTCCTCGCGTTCCCCCTACACCGTTGACTATGCATGGTGCATGGTGCCTCCAGCCGGTTGTCTCCTCTATTCCATGCCCCGTACCCTTCGCCCCTACACCATACCCTATTCTCTTTGCCTATGTCACATAAGTGCTCTTGCCCCATGCGCCGTGCCCCGTGCCCGTGGAGCGTGTAAGTCCCTGTAATCCCTTGTACGTCCGCGTCCTAGGTTCCGAATTCTATGCCCCTTACCCGATTCCTAGTCCTGTACCCCGTCTTTCATTACGGTGCCTTGTTCCCCGCACCTCGTACCCTGTGTGCGCAGAACCTCATTCCCCGTGTTCCATGACCGTGCCAAGTAACACATAAGCCTAGGGATGACTCTTTTTCTCCACGAGCATTCTTCAAAAATATATTTTCTTCGAATTCGTTGGATAACTTTGTAGGTGGCAGAATAGGCAGTCAGCTTCTTCACTGCAGTAGCTTAGTACTCTTGTTCTGACAAAATCAATGACAAGGACCTTCCATACAGTTTAATCACTCAAGTAGTCTTTACTGTGGAGGATTGTTGACTAGTGCAAAAAGAATGATGCTTCATTTTCATCTTATTTCACAACTGATTAAGGACACCACCATCCCAAATGTTTTTCAAGGAATCCTACATTTTATATTTCTTGTCCTACGCCAATAATTTTATCTCCTTTCATGCTCATTTAAAGGTTTTAATAAATTCCAAGCCACTGTTTGAATTTATCAACAGTTCGGTTGTGGTGTTCACTGATTTAACCACTGTAGCACGATGCTACGGCTGACCCAAATAGTCTAATTTATTACCACAAAAACAATTGCCTTTTCACACCTTCGATTATTTTCAAGTCATATAGTAACACAATGCTCACACAATGTCATAAAGCTCTCAAGTTGTTATTTTTTTCCCTCACACCAAACCAAAAACAAAGACGTAAAAGTGCATCATCTCAAAAACTCTATTTTCCACGGTTCTCAATGAGATTCCAAGTATTTCTGATCCACTTGAATCATCGGTGTCGCCACATTCATTGAAACTGGCAAGAAATAGACGAGCGCGAGCTTTTTATTTGCGTTGGCTCTGTCCCTCGGCGTCTTTCTTTACGGCTGAGGCTCTCGCGAATCGGGAAGGAGCTGGAGATAGAGTGCCACTGCGCTTAATTGAGAAAACGGCTCTGCATTCTCTCGAAGCGAGTTAAGGAAAATTCCTTTCAAATCGCCTGTCTCCGCTAATCGAATTCGAAATCTTAAAATAAAAGGATACGACGTCCGCGTGCTCATCTGCTCCACTCGGGAAATTAATTGATTGGAGAGCAAGAGCTCGCTTTCAACGATGGAGCAAAACTTGAAGTGACGCCTTACGATCCAATCGGATGTCCATATTATGTATTTTTCTATTGCACAAGGAATAAACAGAAGCTACCGTTATAAATTTACTCTCTTTGACAGTCATAAATTGTACACAATTTCTCAGTTTCACAAAAGTGTTTACTGTTTTCTAGAGGCGCTTATCGACTTCATAGAATTTAGCACACGCGTATAGACAAGCACCTATATAGATTAATAATTATTTCATTTTACTAATAAATCAATAGTATTTAACCTTTTCCAATAACTTTGACGTTAATGATTACTTCAACTTCAGATACATCTCATATTACTGCCTGCGAAGGAGATATTTCAGAACTAATTACGGGTTCTTTCCCCTTGAAACGAGACAATTTTTCAAGTGATGAATTGGGGATAAATCGCTTAAGGCCTCTTCTCTCAAACTGAGAAGCATATAGAATATTCCATGTCATTAAATGCAGCGAATTGATAAAACGCACAGATTTGAACCAGCGATTGATTGCTTTTCCCTCAGATTTCAGCGCTAATGAATCTCCATAACGAGTTCGATTACCTACATTCTGCTCAGCGAATTTCACAATTCTGCTAGGCGGTAGAGACGGATGAGATTCCAATGCCCGAGAATATCCCAATCGCGATGTAAATTTTCGCTGTCACTCAATAGAAGGCACGCGGTGTAGAGGCCAGCGGATTCGTTGCTCACTTCTTGAAATCGCGGTCAATAGCGTCGAGATCTGTATGGGACAGAAATATGACCACAAATCTCTCTCTCGTCGCAATTCATACCATATGGTTAAATAATTAAAAATCCTTATTTTCGGTCTCGTGAAATCTTCTGCAACAACTGTGGCAGGACGCAAAGCTTTTGGTGCACCACGTGTTGATCTTTTTGTGATCAAGTTTTTGTGAAAAATCCCTTTGATCTTTAAATATTTTGGAGACCAAAATTAGTTTTTGTAAGATTTTTTTCGAAGTTACACCTTTTCGTGCCTCTTATTTGATTATTACATTTTCATTCATTGATTCATGATTTCTTTCCTAGAATATAGTTGAAACCCTTGTTACAAGCCGCAAATCACTCTGAGTCGCTGGTGATCATTGTAAAGCGTTGGGGTGAGACGCCATCTGAGGAGATAATCTATTGACACCAACATGTATTTCCATCTCTCAGTGAAAAGACTAGTGCATCCTTATAAAATCTGCGATCAAAAAGAGAAACGGCATATTCTCTACGAATCTCTCATTCAAGTACACCCAATAAGTTGGAATATGAGCATTGTATCGCGGAAAATACCCGGGGCATCGCCAGAGCCTCTTAGTCCCCTCACCCCCTGCTGCACCCCTGTTTCGCTCTTCCTTTCGCCTCTGAGGCAGCCCGCTGGTCCGCACTGAATCGCATTTTCGGTGCTACGCGTTCCCGCGCACAAGCCTACAAAGATTAAAATGATAATATCGTAAACGAAAACAGCAGGAAATGGAGAAAGTGAGCTGTTAATAGCAAATATAGTTTTTGCAAGTGCATTATCCGGTAATTAGTAATACGAAAACAAGACAAGTAGTACTTGCCTGAAAGAGACAATATAGTCACGTTGGACGGATAATGGTAGCACCTAGTCTTCCTAGTGCTGACGGTGGCTCTGTGAACGACCTTTGTCACCAGCTGCCCTAGACCTAGTGCCACCTACGGCAGACCTGCACATCGACTTACTTTCTTTATTCATACTTTTCGAGTTTTCTGTTTCAAGCTGCTGGGAGAGCTCAGAGCCAGCGTTACCGCTGTCATTAGATCAACAATAGGTTCTTTTCTGATCCTTGCATTGTGATGTTCCTGGTGGAGATCGATCATGTTCTGTTCGTTGAGTGTGTTTGCGTTGTGGTGTGCCAGGACGCGAAGCACTCGGTGTTCCTGGTGGAGATCGTGAAGCGGCCGGGCCAGACGCTGGGGCTGTACATCCGGGAGGGCAACGGGCTGGACCGCTCCGACGGCGTCTTCATCTCTCGCATCGCGCTCGAGTCGGCCGTCTACAACAGCGGCTGCCTCAAGGTGGGCGACGAGATCCTCGCCGTCAACATGGTGGACGTGACGCACATGAGCCTGGACGACGTCGTCATCATCATGTCCATCCCGCGCCGGCTCGTGCTTGTCACGAGGCAGCGCAAGGCGGGTGAGTCACTGCGCACGCGGCAGCACGCGAGGAACCTCCACTCCATATTTACTAGGCTGTCCGGGTGACGCCGCGTCCATGGCGAAGGTGCCGACGTTTCGGTCGCCATTCTGCGACCTTCCTCAGGGCGTAATGCCTATGCATTACGGACCCGGACAGTCTAGTAAATACTGACTCCGGCCGCGGAAGCCTACGCTCTAATCTCCACTCCAGCGAGAGAGGGCTTACTGTACGGGTCTCAAAAATCGGTTGTTCGGAATATTATATTAAAACATATTTGTTTATGCCGAAGTGTTCATTTCGTTTTCATCAGAACTATTGGACAAATGTATATCACTATTAGACAATATTTTACAAAACATACAATCACTATTTTTCAAAAAAATATTATATTGTAATGCTGTTATGCGTTTTTCTGATAGACTTAATAAGAAAATGACGGAAGGTTATCGTTAGGGGCGGTTTTTAATCAAAAGACACTTTCTCTTTTCACTGTAGAACAATGCCGTTCAGTACATAAATGTATTTTATGATATAACGAAACGAAATGACCCACTGTTGTAAGTCACTTTTTTGCATTTTTCATCGATTTCGACAAGTAAGAAATTTTTTTATTTTTTACGTCATTTTTACTGTATTTTTCGCTGATTTCATCGTTTTTAATTTCATTTTATTGGTAGTTGCTTTAAACAATATTTAAGAGATGTAAAAAATAGATGTAAAAAAGTAATTCACCATAGAATTCTTGAGTAACCTATTCGATTTCTTCGCTCATACATTGTAATGTCAGCCGTTTTGAGTACTATGTAATCTAAGTTTCCAGTGAGGTTTATCGGCGTTATTGTAAGTTCGGCCAATTTCGCGATAAAGGCAGAGATTTTCTTTTAAAAAACGGTCCAAACCCAAAGTTTGCAAGCTGAGTTCTCTTGAATAAAAAGAAGGCTCGATTACATCAGTAACATATCCAACAGTTTGAGTTGTTTACCTGAAGTGGTTTTGATAGAATTTCTTACGTTGTTTTTTCTTTGTTTTTTGGACATTTTAAAAGTATTTTAAGAACATTTTATTGATCATTTTTGGCAATGTTTTAGGTCATCAAAATCCGCCCCCTAGTTATCATCAAGAAATATTTAATTATAAAATGGCAATTGGCCTATTATTAGGCAAACGAAATATACGAGATCAAGGAAACACTAAATCTGTTGCTTTTTGTTGCCTCCCCAGTCTGTTAGTGATCTCAATTATATTATAATACAACTTAAAATTATTAATACAAATTCATCTCTTTAAAAAAGAATATAATTATAACACATATAATTGTGTTATAGCACTTTCTATCTTTTCTGGACGTATTTTCTCGGCAACTCCGTACACTATGTTCAATCATAATGTACTATGTCACTTCCATTCATACTTCTTGTTTTATTATCAACTTCACATGCCTTATTCTTTGTTCTTTGCGTTTGTTTACTCTTGTAAATAGAAAAATCTATATTTTTCACACTTACCTCTTTCACTAGAGTGGTGATAATTTATCAGTTCATTGAAATCATTCATTTATGATATAAGATATATTTAAGAGATAGTATATTAGAGTCATATATTTAAATCGTGATTTAAAACTTTAATCACTTATTAAAATCAAAAACCTTATTCCTACTTTTCAATTTTTCTCCAAACTATGTCTCTTTCATGCCTACAGATCATTTTAATTAGTAAAATTCTCGAAGAATTAATTATAAATTAACTGCATCAATTTTCGACACGTATTGTACTACATGAAAAACGACGTGGCCATGAATTATTACAAAACTTAACGAGACGAAAGATAAACAATTTTGAAAATTGTTGCTCAGCTTGTAAACTAATACCGCGCTATTCTGCTAATTACTGTTCTAATTATTTCACATAATACTTACATTCTCATCATGTGTAAAATTATTTATCATAAAAATCGTTAATGTCACAAATGACTTTAAATTAGTCAAATTAATTACATTACAATTTAATATGGGCAAAAAACGATTTATCCAGTCTTTAATAAATTATCCAGTCTTTCGGTATCAGAGGCCTTCAATAAGAATTTTTCTGCCGAAATATCACATTTTTTCGGTGCATTACATAACGTTTATTACATTACGCATAAGGTATGTGAGAAGATAGTACTTAAACCAAGATATTTTAAATGTAATGCTACCAAGCGATCAAAATCTTTGGTATCATTCTTAATTTTTTACAGTAGACAAAATGTACTATAATTCATTCTTAGTTCTTCGATTTCATTTTACCTCATTACCTCTACGCAAAAATGCAATTTCATTTGCAACCTAGTCATTTTTTGTGAAATATCGATATCCATCATCGCTAAATACGTTTCATTCTTTTACCTAACAAGTGGTTATAACATTTAAGATAACAGAACGCTTGCTTCAGATCCCTACCCTGTGTTACGGTAACTTGGCTTGTCTTTATCTACTTGACGGTCAAACTGCATTCTCTCGGACTTTTTATCTTTTTATTCTTAAAGAAGAGTTGTTAACATTTGCAGGGTGAGGATAAGTACGCTGTTACGACTCTAAGAGTTATTACTGTATCTCCATTACCAAACTTTTTATGACTACCCACAAAATTACCCGTTAATTTCGTGCACACCGCCTACGAATTTGTTGTTATTATCTAGATCTGAAGTGCATTCTCAGAGAAGTAAGTTTATCATATTCACATGGCATATTTAATACGAAATATTATTTCGTTGTTTAATTCTCAGACATATTTTACTGTAAAATATACAATTATCTTTTTTTATAAAAATATGTTTATTATGTTTAGATTAAAAATAAGATATTTTTCTTTTTTTAAAGCACATGAATTCCTTGGTGGAAAATTAATGTTACTTGCTATTGGCATTTCCATAATACCATTAAATTTTGGAATATTTACGTGGTGTATAAATTAAATATTTACGTGTCATTTTTTCTTAATGTTGGCTGAGAAAAATGACAAATATATGTAAGTAACAGTTATTTGAATAAGAAATCTTCAATACACTTGTGATTTATTTTCAGAGTATCCAATCCCAAAAGTTCAATAGCATAATTATTTGCAATTTCATGAAGGGTAGTCCTGAAATCAATAGTCCCAATTGCTTTATAAATAATTATTCAAAGGCGGCGCAACTTCATAAAATATACATTATCGTGCATATGAAAACCTATAAGCTTTAAATAAATGACATAGTACGTACCGGTAATTTCCTGTATACCATGTTGTTGAATTTGGGATATTCGTCAATTAATTTCTCGTAGTACTATCATGAGTACGAGAGAAATGAAAAACAAATGTGCGAAATCTGTGTAACAAACAGTGTGAATTTAGATACATCCATTGAATTCAAATTCTATCGAGATTCAAATTTACAGCAATAATGCTTTCTCTCACGAGTACTTTTGAACCTTGCAAACTTTGCTTAGATATGTTTTCAATGTTCATCATTTTTTCTCAAATTAGAAAATAGTTTATTATTATTGTTCAATCCTGTAAAATAATATTCATATCGATTTTTAATACTTATTCAGTCATTTAAATTGTCTTTATATTTTCAATGAAATTGTAATTTTTAAATTCATTCAAGAACAATTTCACATAAAAACTTATGTTAATTAATCTATTGTAATATTAAGTTATATTTTAATTTATTAGATTGTGCGTTTTTACGAACTTCTAGTTAAATTGAATTCTAATTTATTTGTAAAAATATAACGTTAATATAACGTTTTGCACAGAAAGATTTAGAATTATTCTGAAAATCGCGCGTTCTCAACTTTAAAAAGAGACATACATGTTTGTTAAAAATACTTTTGAGAGTATTGTAATTATTCTAAAAGATTGCAAGTGTGAAAAATCAATTTCTTTAGTAAAAACGATGGAATAACGCATTACACCAATGATTAAATAAAACATAGAATTAACTATTTAAGACTTCGCTTGGGTTCGGGTAATCCAATGGATAGTATTCTACCTCTTCCAAAATTACTTTAAACGAACTTTATTCAATTATCCTTGAAGAAAATGACCTTGATAGAAGAATAAGTACACCCAACTCCTAAAGCATGTATGTTTTCTCTGGTGAAAAATAGCAGATGGACTGGAGACGGGGGTGGCAAGTAGGGATTATAGAGCAGATATGGAAAGACGGAGATCAAATACAAGTAAAAGGGGCAGATGAAGGGGAAGAGGGACCAGAAAGAAAAGATTATGTAAATAATTAGTAAGTGAAAGAGTGTAAGTGATAAGAGAACAGAGAAAAGAGTAGAAGTAAGAACAGATAAGAAGGGGCGGAACACGCAGAGAAAAGAACGCAGATGTAAATACAACATAAGAAAGGGTGGAGTGAAGAGCTGAAATACATTTCACTATGAGAGAAATGAATGAAGAGAGATTTAAGCAGGAGAGAGTGGAGAGTGAAGGGATAGCACAGAAGGGGACAACGGGGAGAGTGGGTGGCAGATAAATCGGAAGGTGTAGAGAGGAAGACTGACAGGATCTGAGGGAACAGACCGAAATAGTTAAGCGAAAAGTGAGAGAGGGCAAACGTGGGAAGGATGGTGGCGCAGGAAGAGAGCAAATTTCTTACTGCGAATCGAGTAAGAAGTTCGCTCTCTTATTACTATCGTTATCCTTTTGTTATCCACACGATTTGCTTTAATATCGTAACATTTTCTTTATCCACTAGATTCTCTACTACTAATATAGACAGAGAATCGAGTGAATAACGAAAGGAGTGAAGGACTACGAGAGTCGTGAGAAAGGAGTGGACGGGTGACAACAAAGGCGGGTGGAATGAAAACGAATTAAGAGGATAGGGAGCAAAAAGCGAGAAGTAGAGAGATTTCACAGAGAAAGACAGACGTCGAGTAAAACCATGAGAGAGAAAGAAGAGAAAGATGATGGAAAGGGTAGAGAACGGATATGC